TAACGTAAAAGAAATCTACATTATAATAAAACTAATATTCAATTATCAGTCATCTAGTCTTTTATTTTATTCTATATGTCAAGCTTCTTCCTTTTTCATATATGACACAAAACCATGGATACACCAACCGCAACAGTTGGAACCCTCAACGTTAAGCATTATGCCGCATAATGCGCTATAATGCTGTGATTGGAAAGCTATCTATGGTATACCTATATTATTTATTGTTGAAAATTTATTAAAACTTTCGTTTCATCATAGTTTTTTTTAAATAATCAAAGTTAATTCAAACTGTGTTAAAAATTAAATATAAATATGGATGAAGGTACAAACATTGACTTTTTTTTTCAACACTGAACTTGGCGCACTCTGCTGGTGCATTTGAAAACTAATTCACGTTCCAATTAAGCATCAGCATAATTCGGCATTGTGCGGCACTGAGTCGCATTATGCTCTGTAATTGGAAAGCAACCTATATGTCTATCTTTTAAGGTTAACACACTAGAACTTTTTTTATTCCGAAGATTTGAAACGTTAGATTTGCCCTGACACCGAAAAACTGTGGCTATATTTTGCAATGACGTTAAAATGATGGCCGTTTTGACACATTACAATAGTGAAGTGAAAAGTCAATTTGTTATCGATTAAATAAACTAATGTAATTAAATGCGAGTCTCATCCAGATATTATATTTTTTTAATTATTTGGGTATTTTAACCAATATTTAAAGTAGTTATTCATTAAAATGACTAAATAATATGAAAATATAAATGTCTACATAAATAAGCGATCATATATGCGGGGATCGTGTTGATTTATTTATTTCGAATTTCGAAAAGTAGAAATTCCGAGTTAAATGGTACCTAAATAAAAACATTGCGATTCTAATTAATATTAGCTAGTAATCTAGCTGACCCGACCCGGCGAACTGCGTACCGACTTTGTAACAGTCGAATAATCTTTTAATTTCTAGCTTAATTAAATTAAAGATTTTACAACCGAAATAAAACTAATACAGATCAAATTCAAGCATCATTTATTCAGTCTAGGCTGCTCTTTTGAAAGTCGAGAAGGTACGCAATTGGTTCGCAAAACTACGGCGGAAGACCTTGTACTGAGAAGAACCGGCAAGAAACTCAGCAAAGGCTGTTTTTTCTCCTTGTCTTATTATAAACAAAGTCAATTTGAAAAATGACGAGAGATAATTCTGAAGTCACCTTCCATTAGCTTTACTCTTAGTAGGTATATAAGAAGCGGCTTCAGATACCACATTATCGTTATGAAATAAACCGTTACATTACAAGAAACACTATGTTCATGCATTACGATCATTATGATAATCATCAACTTTATAATAGCCCTTACCCATAAGAGTATTCTTGAAAGCTCAGTCTACTTGATGAGGCATCAACATGAGGATCACATTGCAGATGCCAGTCTAAAGTATTTTTTTTTATTTGAATGGGAAAACGTACAGCTATTCATTCAAAATTTAGTTTAAAATAATTATCAACTATAAGCATTAACAAGTTTTCACTTATAAATATGAAGAAATTTTAAGATTGGAAATTAAATTTTACAATGTTTAGAAAAATTTAGATAAGAAAAGAAAAATGAAATTCAAAGATTCACAAAACAACAATTATCAGTCATTAACCGCCTGATAGCTGCAGGTTTTAAATTTAATATGTCGATTGAAGAATATTCATTGACGAAGTAGTTTAGCAATGCACAAGCCCTGCTGAAAAATGAATACTGTCGATAGTTAGTGTTTAACTTAGAAATACATATCGGACGATAACTTCTTAATTGTTTTGTTGGAATATTTTTATTTACTTTGTCCAGCTACCTTTGAAAGAATTTTAATGAGCGTTCGGATTTTCATAAGTTTTAAAAAACCGACAATAAAGTTTAGACCGTTTGCCGAGTCGTATGGTTACAGCACTAGTTACAAATGTGAAAAAGGGCCTATTATTTTGCGATGACTTGTAAATTTTGTTCTGAATTAATTCACTATTTGCGATGATGTTTTTTGAAGTTTAACATGTATTTCATCTTTAATTAGTGGGAGTGATTTCGTGAAATGGGACTGAAGTGTGTAACAGGAAGTCGCGAAAGCGCGCGCTATTTGATATGATTTTAAAACATAATGTTCAAATGGCTTATTCCTTTTGTAGTAGGTTTTATATCTTTTTTTACTATTATAAGGTGAGGTTTCAAATGTTACATATCATACGCGACTACTGTAATAGCCCAAGAGCTACTGAACCCTCCGAGTAACGGTCTGTCTGTAAGGCTAGAAATTCTTATGGTGATGAGTCGTAGCATGCTTAGTACGGTAAGCATCGCCTGGCACTCCTCAGCCCTGCACGTCATCAAGCCATATATTTTTGAAAGTGTCAAAAAAATATTAAAAAAAAAACTTGTTGCTGAGAGCTTGAATTTTTTATGCAATTTAGTTTATTCATTTTTAAGTTTAAAAAAGAAAAGCCAGGCGTTTACGATGAGCACAAGTACCTGCCAGGCAAACCGGAAGGTGTGTAATATATACATAAAAAAAAATTATATATGTGTTTGTTTAAGCGATTTAAAGTAAGTAGGTAGAATGCCAGGCGGTTCTGGCTAGCACAAGTCCTTGCCAGGCGAGGAGAAATATGCTGCGGCAGTGCGAGTAAGAGTCGTACCTAGTATGAAAACTTACATAACTTAAAACTTGAAATTAATAATTAAAACTCATAATTTGCAATTAATTAACGTTAATTAATATATATTTAGTAGTGTGCATGTTTCTGTGAAGTAACCGATTTGAAAAAATGCAACTCAATACTTAGATGAAACCTAATAAAGAATATGTAAGTTCATAAAAATATACCCGCCAATGATGCTGGTACATTGGATGAAGTCGATGTTTTGTTCTGGCATTTTTTTTTATTACAGTAAGAAAGTATTTGTAACACTTCACATGATAACCTGTATTATCATGAACTTCCTCTGGCAAAGAAATGTCATTAAATTTTAAATTATGTTGTTTTCTTATTTTTAATATTGATTTGCTTTTGTCTAAAGTACTTGTTGTAAATTTTACAGTTTTGTCATCAATATCTTGTTTGCAAATCACACAAACAACGTTTGCAGATTCCATTTTACTCACTATTTACTTAAATATGAATAATCGTTGGCACAACTGACGTACACAAGAATAACTGCACAATTAATATTAATATTTAATTGAAATTTAAATCATTACAATTCTTCACAATATAAAACAGTGAAATTCTGCTTAAGATTTTACATAGATAAATCATTGTTACCTCCGACGGTTTTTTTTCAGGCATAGCGCACCACCGAGTTTACGTTGAGCCGCTTACTCGCACTTCTATAGCATCTTTCCCCTCACGAGGCAAGGACTTATGCTAACCAGAACCGCCTGCCTTTCTACCTACTTACTTTAAATCGCAAATAAAATTATAATAAAACTTAACCTAGTTAAACTAAATGCAAATAATATGACATTACAGACAGACAAAGTTTTTTATACTTTCCAACAATATCGGTATCAAATGAAAGGACTTTCTAAGAATATGAGGTTTTTGAAGTCCTCGATTATACCTATCCAGCGATAACTAAAAAGTAAAAAATAAATTAAAAGTATAAAACTTTTTATAAAGAAACTTTTATTTAAATGCGCTAAAAAGAATAAACTGCTGAGAATGAGTCACGTGACGCTGAAGAACACATTAAAGGTAACAAATATTTCATAACAATATATGAAATTCTATATAATTGAGCGCAAGCGAAAATTTATTAATTAATTTAAAGACAAAATATTTTACCTATAACTTTCATTTTCACATCATTTAATTTGCATGAATAATATACCGTAAGTTTTCATACTACGACTCTTACTCGCACTGCCGCAGCATCTTTCACCTCGCCTGGCAAGGACTTGTGCTAACCAGAACCGTCTGGCATTCTACCTACTTACTTTAAATCGCTTATATAAACACATATATAAATTTCAGCTTTACAGAATAAAGTTTATTTTTATGTATTATTACGATGACCTCCGTTGCCGAGTGGTTTGTACTCCGGGTTTCATGGCGTCGCCGACTCGAGAGGTTCCGGGTTCGAATCCCGGTGGGGGCAGATGTTTGTGTGATGAACACGAGCATTTGTACTCCAGTCATGGATGTTTAATATGTATTTCTATATAAATATACTTATATGTGTAAAGTATATGTATTTTGTCCGTTACCCTAGTATCCCATAACACAAGACTTATAGTGCTTACTTTGGGGCTAGGTATTAGCCATTTAACTCACACCATAATTGGTGTGAGTGTTGGAAATATTTATTATTTATTTATTATATTACACATCTTCCTGCTCGCCTGGCGGGTACTTGTGCTCATAGTAAACGCCTGGCATTATTTTTTAAACTTAATTTTTTTAAACTAAATTGTTTAAAAGTTTCAAGCTTAAGCTACAAGTGTTTTTTTAATATTTTTTTGACACTTTCAAAAATATAGGGCTTGAAATTGTGCAGGGCTGAGGAGTGCCAGACGATGCTTACTGTACTAAGCATGCTATGACTCATCACCATGACAATTTCTATTACTCGGAGGGTTTAGTAGCTCTCCTACTATAAGGCTCGCTCGATTTTTATAAACATGATATCAATCTTTATCAAAATAAAAACGTTATTCATCACAAGTATTTAATGTTTAACAAAATTGTCTCTGACATTTTAAGATTTCAACTCTCACTCGAGCTTTTCACTTCACCATAAAAATCATGTCATCTACGACAATTTGATATACTCCAACCTTTAAGTATCTATTAAACATCAATGCGAACGAAGTCGCGAGTACAATAAGGAGAAAAAAATATATTCAAGCTACGGCTGTTTGAACTTTATTTCTTTTGCCTTCCTTTCAAGAATAAACAAAAAAAAGGATGATATCAAGAAATTGTTAGACCTGTCATTCGTTGGTTTATTTTCGTCATTTCGTTTGTGAAATTGTATTCAAGCTATACTTTAGACTTACAAAATTATTTGTATCCTTGAACCTCACAAATGGACATTTTGAAAAGCTTTACTCGAGATTTATTGATCATGTCGGTAGTGCTAAATAATATGAATGTTTCGCAAGCATTTTGATAAATACATTTAACATTGTTCCTAAATAATATTTTTTTTGCGTTTCTGGGACAAATTCAAGAATGCGTAGATAGTGGCCTCTACGAAATAATTAGACGTAGAAAATAATAAATGGTGTTTAAAGTAAGAAAACATAAATATGGCACAGTTCAATAGACGCGGTGTAACGTATAGCGCATTGAATAACGAATTAACTCCACCTTTGGCGGGATTAGCAGAGAATGTAAATGCAGCCCCAACTATGATCACGCTAGACCACGAACATGAAGATGCAACAATAGGAAACTTTGTAATCCACAAAGTACCAAAAAACAAAGGTGTGTAAGATTTTCTTTGTTCTTTCAAGCAAGGGGTCTTGTGGGTGTAATAGCTCTATTACCACAATGCTTTTTCCTAAACTATTTAATTTAGTTTTGTAGGACGATATTGATATGATATTGAACCAGCTTATTTATTTAAAATATTAGAAAGTTTATGAGGCTGTCTTAAAATTCTTGCTGTGTAATGACAGCTGTTGAGAGAGCTCATATACCAGCCAAAACGAATTTGAATTCTCTTAATAATAGATTAAAAGTTTTATCATGCTACCAATTTAACTTGAATAAATGTATAGTTATTTCATATTTATTATTGATAATAACTTATTATCTATAACAAAAAAAAATACTATGAATTTACTTTTATTAACGTATGTAACTGTTTACATATTTTATAATTTTGTTGTGGTGTAAAGTAAAAACAATATATATTTCAGGAGGATGGACTCACATAGAAGATTTAGATTCATTCTTCACAAGAATGTACAGATATTATATACGTGGGGGTTTTTATCCGATGATAATGTCAGATCTGTTCTCATTACTACAGTTCATATTTATTGTGTGGTTTTCTACATTTCTGGTACACTGTGTAAATTATCCAAGATTGTTTAGGAATGATGATTATGCAAATAGAACACGAAAACTCACTTTGGATGAAGTGTTATATTCTTCACAAGAGTGTGTTGAGCGAATATCATGGACTTGGTATGTTAAAACAATGTGTTCATTTTTATATTTTTGTACTTTTATATCAGTAACATGCATATGTTTAAGTATATGATAGGGATTCTCTCTAATATAGGAAACTATTTTTTATTGGAAAATGATACATCTTAAGCATATTCATAAATATCTACTATTTATCTTCTATAAATATTAGAAACAATTGCTGTTCATTAGTCTCGCTAAAACTCGAGAACGGCTGAACAGATTTACCTTATCTTGGTCTTGAAATATTCGTGGTGGTCTAGGAAAGGTTTAAAAGGTAAGAAAAGTTCGAATAATTGCAAGGAAGATAGAAAAACACAATTTCATTTGTCCTTAAAAATAAAATTATTTTAAGCAGTAAGAAGTACGCTGGGTCAGCTAGTATTGAATATATCCTATATGAGTACTATTTTTGTTTACATGAACTGACTTACATTATTGTTTACCTTAGATTAAGTATTTCTATGCTTCAGTTGAGTTTTTGTGAATTGGCATTGACCTTGTATCAGTTTACAATGTATTCTAAAATTAACACAGATCTTTAGTGTGCTCTAAATTGATCACTAAGCTGATGATATTGATATCAAATATCACAAGTTTTCAATATCATACTATATATTTTTATTCACTAGTTACGTTATATTATTAGTATATGTTATATTATCGGTGCCTGAATTTATTAAACCAATAACTTGTAAGATCACAGACACTTTGTTAAATCCTTGATTTTCACCAAGCACTGCTTGCAGCCTACTGAAGTATGTACTCACTTTTAACTGTGTATCTGTATTAAATAATACAGTGTTTTGATAACAACATAATTTTGTATTATGAATTTTATTCAATGGTTACGCATTACTCTTACCATTCTTTATATGATCAAAAAGACTAAATTTGAAAGAATGGTGTAAGATTAAAAAAAAAACTAGTATTCTTAAAAGACAATCTGGATAACTGTTACTGAATGTTATTTATATTTTAATACACAAAAGTGACACAATTATTAAAGTGCCTACTTCATAAAAGTCAGCAAATTTTCAATTTTAACTTTGGTATAATTACTCAACCACACTATTATTAGGTTACAAGTATTGAAAAGTATGATTATATATATGGATTTTTTCCAGGTGGAGTCTGGTGGTATTGTGTGCCCTAATATGGTTCATGAAGTTAGTTATATCAGTTTACCATCTTTATTATGCATATGACACAAAATTATTTTACAATAATGCTCTAAAAATAAGAGAGGTAAGTTATAATATAATCATAGTGATCATAGCACTGTTTTATTGATATGCACAAAAGATACATATAAGTACAATTTGTTCCTCAATTTTTAGAGTGATTTAGCTTGGGTGAACTGGTCAACTATTCAAGATCGTGTGAGAGAAGCTCAGCCAGAGCATCATATGTGCGTCCATAAACAAGAAATCAACGAATTAGATATATATCATAGAATACTCAGGTAAATCTTTATTATATACTTATTCTATATCAACTGTAGAAATTTTTGCAATGACATTGAAATGATAGTATGTGTGTCATGGTGTGGCACACTTTGATATGATTTTGTTTATTATAATATGGTCTGTAAAATATTTGTAGAATGCTTGGAGATAAAATGATAAGGCTATAAACAAAACATAGCAGCACTGTACCAGAACACATATAAAATTTATTTCTGATATCCTTTCATTTGGTTATATATATTTTTTATAACAATAAGTCATTATATAACCAGAGCTTGCAAAAAGGATTTTAATTTAAAGAAAAAGAAATAACAAGTAGAATTAAATGCACTATTGTCAGTGTATGTAATCTACCAAGATTCCGTACAGCTTTTGCTAGGTGACAGTTTGTTTATTTATCTAAGTATTTTTACAATTAAATAAATATAATAATTGATTTTTACCTATTACCTATTAAAGACGCGAATACTAAAATAAGGAAATGGTTACTTACCCTTAACTATGATTTTACCGAATCTTTGCTATTAAACTGAGTTTCCCTCTTTTTGACTTGCACGCACATTCACTCACACACACATATACACACACACACATACACACACACACACATACACACACACATATACACACATACATACACACACACACACACACACCTGTATTAAATATAGTGTAAAACTGTTTTGTTTCATAAATAGTTATGATCTATATATTCGGAAGTGGGCACTGATCCCTGTCACACAGGTCTTGATCCTATTATAGGGGTCATGGACTACATTATATTCAAGTATGTAATCAATTTGACAATAAATAAATTATTATTATTAAAATTTAAAGAAAAACATTGTCCTTCTTGTTGAAGTTTTTTTAATTTTCTAGTGCCTAGGATTTTAAAGTTGCAATCGCTTGATGAGCTATTTATTTACCAGTTCATTAATTACATAAAAAGTTCCAAATAAAATATAAGTATTACTTTTGGATTTAAAGCTGCTATAAGAAGTCCTTACAAACATATAAACAGACTTTTTTCAACAAAGATCCAATTTACCAATATTTTTTTGCAATATGTTCATATTGGGTAAGAGCATAAGTTTGCTGCGTGTTTGCAATCTCCAGGGCAAAAGTGCTTTGGCCTTATTTATCACATTAATTATCAAAACTTGTAATTATACCTCCCTGTTGTTATTAATGCAATGTTATCTTTGTAAAGGTTACTTGTTCATTGTCATTGCTAAAACTATTTTATGTTTTAGGTTTAATAATTATATGGTGGCAATGGTAAACAAGAATCTTCTTCCATTGCAAATTAATATACCTTGCATTGGGCATTTTCACTATTTATCAAGAGGTCTGAAATGGAATTTGGAGTTTTTATTATTTTGTAAGTTATGTTTTTATACGTTTTATTGTTTACATCATTTATTCCATGCATACATAAGCATGACCATCTTAGGTGCAGTTTGACAGTATAAAATGTATAAACATAAGTATGTACTATGGCGGCACCTTATGACTTCACATTTAGAATTGGTAGGGTCTTAAATATCTTTCAGAAATAATATTATCAAGTTGCTGGCCCATTATTGTACATTTTTTATGGATCAATAGTGATGGGATTCTAACAATGAGATGGCTTGTTTTACTCTTCATATAGAGTTTCATTTTCAAATTTTTAAGTGATAAGATATTTCATAAAACATAAAATCAACTTCTATTTAATTCTAAGTCCTCTGAGGCGCGGGTCAGACAAAAAAGAAGTAAGATTCAGACGGGTCGCAGACATATTATATTATGTCTCTTCTGCTTCTTTTTCATACAACATGTATAGAAGCGTCTCGTCGCAAAACTTATATGGTTTGCGACGCGATAAGGAGCGGCGAAAAGACAGGGCGCGGTCCTTTTGTATGAAACTGACAATGTCTGCTCCCTGTCTGCGTCTTGCTTATTTTCTGTATGTCCAGCGCATAATTTGTTAGTATATAATGGATAAAACAATTAGGGGGGCAACATATTTAAGATGTTTAATATAAATGTCACTTTTTGAAGTGAAAACTTCTTTAGCGGCGTTGTACACTTTTTTGTTATGGGTAAAAACTGTTAAACTCGCGTCAGGACACGTGGCCTGATCGCGTCCGGACACGTGACCTAATGAAAATTCTTAAGACGAAAACAATAAAATTGGTAAGGTTGTTGACTTTCAATATATTGGACGAAACATAGTAATATTTTATTGTATCGTATTATAATAATAAGTCTCTAATTAGGACGTCCAGGTGGCACCTTAATTGCGAAGAAAATGCATTTTTTTACAATAGATGTCGCTAGGTGAGCTTAAATGTGATTCATGTAGGTTGATTTTTCTGAGAGATAAACTTTTTAATGTAATATAAATTGTCATGTTTGAGTACGATAGCGCAATAAATAAATATTGTATTCTATCACATAAATGATAGTACTTTTATACTGATATTAAAGCAATTCGTGCAAAATTATTCCTTAACCATTCCAAAATATCAAAAATGTAGAACATTAATATTCAAGTTTTCACTTCTGCCGGCACTCCCGGAGTGCAACCCGTCGTTTTTTAGTTACCCTGTTTGTAAAGCCGATCAACAAACATTTTGACACTTATATATAACGCATTATAATAATTTTGATATTGTCCTTTATTTTATCTCTTCTTTTATATTTTCACAGTTATTTTATCTCTTCTTTTATATGTTCACAGTTAGCCCTTCTAGTCCTTGGGAGAATTGTTGGCAACTACGGGAGGTGTATAAAGATCATACGAATCGAATGACATTAGCGCGGCATCTTGAAAAGCAGATAATTCTGTTAGCGTTTATAAATCTGCTGCTGGCACCTCTCATTCAAGCGTGGCAGATACTTTACTTCTTTTTCAATTATGCTGAGGTAAGTTACTACTTTTTTATGTTAAATGGGTGGCCAACAAATATTTGGCCCGCCTGATGGTACGACCATCATAGGCTATAGACACTTGGGATACCAAAAATATCGCGCCGTTGTATTGCCTGATCCCAATCCCCTGCCCCGTTGAATTAAAAACATAAACGGCATAAGGCATAGGCATAAGGCGCATACTATGGTATGACAAAATAATGAATTTGGAATAGCCCGAATATTACTGTGAAATTGTAATAAAAGTGATTGGTGACTGTTTTAATTATGTTTATAAAATAAAAACTTGCATTGAACTTTATAATTGACAATATTCTGTCTGATTGCTAAGATTGACTTTGAACCTTTGTATAACATCCAAACTGCATAATGTAGAATTGTAGAGGATTGTATAATCTTTCCACTTGGTATATTAAAATGTCTAAGGAATAAAATATTGGGGGACCAAACAGTCAAACAATAGCTTTTATCAGATGTAGACCTTGTCTGGTTCTTAGCACAGTTGGTAAAGCGCTCTCACTGCAGGCTGGCTGCCTGAAGTAAGTAGTTTGCGCATAGGATTCATTATAGTTGGGGAGCCCAAGCGGAGATATATGGAATTACTCGAGCGCGGCAGATAAACATAAGGGCAACCTTGCACCTTGTGAAGTACTCCCGCCATATCATATCATATCATACCACAGAAAAAACAAATATTAATAAACTAGATAGTGATCATTGTGGCCAGTTGATAACATTGCCGTATCAGCTCAAGCAGGTGACAAAAAAATACATCACTGTTGTACCAAAATCTGCTAATCGTGTGGAACGTTTTAAAACTCAATTAGATAGAAAAATGTGTTATCTAAAATATAAAGACAATCCAAAGGATTTATATGTTTTTTTTATAATAAAAAAAAATATGTGTCAATGATGCGGTAACTTTTACTAAGTGGGCTATGCCTGGAATTTATAAAAGTAGAACTACACCTTATGAACTTTATAACGAAAGAAACTGTAACCCTAGGGAAAAATTTAAAGAGCACGTTCGTAACTAAAAAATTAAATTTAATATTACGTAATTTTAAATTGTTTAAAAAAGTATGCCGCTTAGCAAAATCAAATTACTTAAGTTCAAAGAATAAGAACAGTAATGACAAAATCAAAACGACATGGAATATTATAAATGATGAAACTGGAAAATCCAAAACTCGCAATAATAATTATAACTTAAATATTGATAATAAAAAGGTTACTTCAGATATTGAGTACAGCTAGTTGCTACAGCTTTCGAAAATTTCTTTACTGATATTCCAGTTTCAACTACTAAATCTTTGAACTCTTCCCCCATTGCTGCCGAATCAATCTTAAGAGAAAACGTGAAATCTTGTACTAGTCATTTTCATTTTAAACATGTTGACTTTAAAGATGTAATTAAAACGTATCACCAATTAAATAAAAAGAAAACCGCGGATCTGTGGGGCAATTCCGTTGATGTTTCTAAATCGGTAATTGAGACAATAGCTCCTATTCTAGCTTGCATGTTTAATGATTGTGTTGACTGTGGTGTTTTTCCTGACCTCATGAAATACAGTAAAATAACTCCTTTGCATAAAACGGGAAGTACATCAGACCCCACAAACTTCAGACCAATTTCTGTGCTACCCACCTTTAGTAAAATTTTCGAAAAAATCATGTTAAATCAAATGCAATCACATTTTAATAAATATAATATACTTCACTGTTAACAATTTGGTTTTACACGGGGTCGTTCAATAACCGATGCCGGTGTGGAATTTATGCAACAAATTTTTGATGCCTGGGAGAACTCGCAGAACGCTCTAGTTGTGTTTTGCGACTTGTCCAAGGCTTTTGATTGCGTTTTTCATGAAACATTACTCAGAAAACTCCACCACTATGGATTTAGAGATACTGATCTGGATCTTATTGCGTCATATCTGATAGATAGGATTCAGAGGGTTGACATTAATGGAAATAAGTCTGCAGGTTCGCCGGTTAAAATGGGTGTTCCACAGGGCTCAATCCTTGGTCCTTTCTTATTTTTAATTTATATTAATGACGCCTTACTATGTTAGAGATAAGCATGAGATAGTATTGTTCGCGAATGATACATCACTTTTATTTAAACTCAAACGTAAGGGAACAGTTATTGACGACGTGAACAGTTGTATCTCTAAGGTAGTCCACTGGTTCAATGTTAATAATTTATTACTAAATGAAGGAAAAACGAAATGTATGAAATTTGTATTACCTAATGTAAAACAGGTAAAAACCAGTGTGAATGTAAAGGATAGGAATATGGGCCTTGTAGACACCACAGTGTTCTTAGGGATTACTTTAGATTCTAAGTTTCAATGGGGCCCACATATTGATAAATTGTCAAATAGACTTAGCTGTGCAGCATATGCCGTAATGAAGATACGCCAGTTAGCGGATGTAGATACGGCCAGATTAGTGTACTTTAGTTATTTCCATAGTGTAATGTCGTACGGAATTTTCTTGTGGGGAAACGCCACCGACATTCAAACTATTTTTGTGCTGCAGAAGAGAGCTATTCGATCAATTTATAATCTTAAAGTTAAGGATTCCTTGAGAGATAGGTTTAAAGAATTTGGTATAATGACGGCCGCATCACAATACATATACGACAATTTATTACTTGTAAGAAAATATATTAATTTGTTTCTTAAAAACAGTGATGTTCACACACATAATACAAGAAAAAAAAAAACTAACTTTACCTGCTACTAGGCTTCACAAAATAAATAATTCATTTAAAGGTCTTTGTGTTCGCTTATACAATAAAGTCCTAAGCAATATTCAAGAGTTAACCATAAATAAATTCAAAGATAGTATAAAAAAAGCACTTATTAAAAAAGCTTATTACAAAGTGTCTGATTATATTACAGAGAAAAATGCTTGGGTTTGAACTGTTCTAATCATTCCAACAGGTTTTCTATATTAAATAAATCATGATTGTATTGACGTTGTAACAACATAATGATTTGTTAATGTTGTTACATTATGCTTTTAATGTTGTGGAGTTTTTTTCGCTCGTTTTTCTCCGCAGCAAAAAAATATGTCCAATAACGAGTGGTAGGGAAAAATGTTTGGACGATTCAAAAGTTTTGTACTATACATCCAATTTGAATAAAGATATATTGATTTCTGATTTGATTGGCTTATAGGCTTCTTTTCCATAGACTGACGATTTGGACGCGACCAAAAATCATGACGTTCGGCCCTACATAGAGGGCTCAGGTGTGGTAGGAGTACTTCACAAGGTTGCCCCCCTTATGTTTATCTGCCGCGCTCGAGTAAATACATAAATCTTCTCTTAGGCTCTCCTACCATTAGGATCACATTGTTTACTGCATTGTCCAGACCGGCCAAGATGTATTGAACGGACTTATTATATTAACATGGATGGTAAAACACTAACGATTTTTTATATACATATACAATTTAAAAGAAAAATTAAAAAAAAGCCAAGGCTGTATCAACTATACCTTGATCTATATCTGATGTGAAATTAAAAATGTTGCTCAAGTTAATATCTAATAGAAACGTGTGTTGGTTTAGTTGATCAAGCGGTCGCCCGGCTCGCTGGGGCTGCGCACGTGGTCTCTGTACGCGCGCATCACGCTGCGCCACTTCAACGAGCTGGAGCACGAGCTGCGTGACCGGCTCAACCGCGCGCACAAGCCCGCCACCAAGTACCTGGCCAGCTTCACGTCGCCCATTACAACGGTGCTCGCCAAGTAAGGCCGCGTATTGCCGCGTTATTACCGTGTGTCCGTACAGTTGAAAAGTCGCGTCCGGCTCGCTGGGGCTGCACACGTGGTCTCTGTCACACTCGCACACTCACAAACTTTCGCCTATGTAATATTAGTGTGATTAAGAAGATTTAGTTATTTAGAATCACTGTTTCTTTACCAGAAACGTGGTGTTTTTATCCGGGAGCGTGCTGGGTGTACTGGTGGTGCTGTCAGTGTACGACGAAGACGTGCTTACCGTGGAGCACGTGCTCACGATCATCACCATCCTGGGGTGCATACTAGCCGGCGCCAGGTAAGTAAAGCACCATCAACATCAGCCTATTAATGTCGTATCCTTACTGCCATTCAGCTCTGGAATGCACTTTCTCTAGACTTTCGAAACGCTCCAAACAGCTGTTTAAGAGTTCGGTGCGGGAACATTTGTCGAATTTATTGCATAGTGCTTAACTTGAATCAGGATACTTAAATCGGACACTATATTAAAGGTCCATTATGTATATATGTGTGTGTGTGTATGTATGTTTGTATGTATGTATATGTATTAAACACTATTTAATTTTGTTTTTCTCATTGTTTGATGTTTGCTCTTTTCTATGATTGTCTGCCGTTTTATTGACTCTGCAAATTCTTTCCGGTTGGAAAATGCCATGCTGACATTCAGTCCGCCATATGCAATGTAAAGGCATTAAAGATTAAATAAATAAAAATAAATGTCCCCACTGCAAGGGGATGGAATAGGAAGGTTGGGCCATGAACCACCACACGGGCCCAGTGTCAATTGGTGGCTGCTAATAACTGCAGATGCAGCCTGGACAAACAGCTTAACGTGCCCTCCGAAGCACGGAGGAGCTCGGGATCGTAAATGTTTGGTCGCCACATCCAATGACCGACCATTGCGTAAGTTGCTTAACTTCAATGATCGCAGCCGAACGCGCTAACCACATGCTCCATCGAGCTCCACTTTGAGATAAGTAAATATACATTAAATTTTCACGAATTTACTTTGGTCTGTAGGCGGATTTTACTAATGCCTTTTTCTTTTGGGGTTTTATAACTAAAGCAATTTATATAAATGCATGTTTAATGAAGAGTTGATGTGGTTTGTTGTGAATATTTTTAGAGAGTTAAAAAAATACTTTAAATTGTTATTTTATTACGTTACGTGTAAGGGGAACCATTTATTTTATTTTCTCAAATTGTATTTCTACCGAATAATGTGTAAACATACTCAATCACTTGTCCCACCGCCAACGAAGAACCAGAAGCGACTAGAGCTCGAGTTGGCGAGGAGCGGGATTATGCAAGTGTGTGAAAATACAACGGGTGCCACTCGCTCGCGGAGACAATCCTTACAAAAATGCACGCGCGCGCCTTTTGAGACAAGCGAGAATCGCTGTGCGAGTATTATCTCTTACTGCTCTTGTCGCTCAGCGCCAACTGTTAGCGATCATTATGCATATTATTTGTTTATTATTACTATTACTACATGCATATTATTTGTTTCCACGGAATGTATACCTATCGTACGTTACTTGAGCGAAAAAATAGCTTATAGTTATTCGCTTCCTCGCTGGCGGTGGGAGAACTGCCTAAATAGTATGGTCGCTGCAAAACTTTTAAGTGTGTGCGGACCTTGTTTAAGCGCAACTTTAAAAAAGTCTGATGTTCCGATGACATCGTTGTCCGTAGCGGGTTTTTATTGACTCAAAATCAGAACTCTAAATAGTCTGATGAAATGATTGTCCGTAGGGCGTTGATAGGTGAAGAAGAGCGTCTAGGGGGCGGATGTACGGGCCCCGCGTGGGGGGAGGAGTTATTCGTGCAAGTGCTCGGACACGTGCATTACCTGCCGGCCGCATGGCGGGGCCGCGCGCACACCAAGGACGTGGCCGCGCACTTCCAGCAGCTGTTTCAGTTCCGTGCGGTGAGTGGTTGTGCAGGGGGTCGGGTACGTGCACTACCTGCTGGCCGCGTAGAGGGGCCGCGCGCACACCAAGGACGTGGCCGCGCACTTCCAGCAGCAGTTTCAGTTCCGTGCGGTGAGTGGTTGTGCAGGGGGTCGGGTACGTGCACTACCTGCTGGCCGCGTGGAGGGGCCGCGCGCACACCAAGGACGTGGCCGTGCATTTCCAGCAGCTGTTCAAGTTCCGCGTGGTGGGGCCGCACAGTGGGCTGAAAATCGCGTTGAATAGACATTCAATTTATTTATTTCTTAGGTTTTCACGCACATCACTCATGCTCATCATGCATGAAGGTAGCTCGACAATTTTAAATAAAAAATCATTATTCTGACGATGCAGACCTGAAAAGGCTGCGAAACGCCAATAAATAAATAAAGTTTCGTGCATTAACCCGTAAAAACTAGTTTTATTTAGACATTCAATTTATTTTTTGCAAGTGCTTCGGAGCTTTTTGCTTGGAAACAATTGAGAATACCTAGTATATAAGCATATACTAGTTATTCACATCCTCTTAGATTAGTTTTTTTTTAATTTTTTGACATACTCCACGCCCCAGTCAAACGTGCGCTTTTTTCTTAAAAAATAATGAAAAAAACACATTTCTTCTTTTTTATCTAATATGAAGCTTACATAGATATATAGATATAGACTAGAAATTTACGCAAATTAATTGTGTGCAAAATTTTTTATCTACTATATAAAAATAAGTCGGGTTTTCCTTCCTGACGCTATAACTCCAGAATGCACAAACCGATTTCCACGGTTTTGCATTCGTTGGAAAGGTCTCGGGCTCCGTGAGGTTTATAGCAAAGAGAATTCAGGAAAATTTTCAAAAAAAAAAAACCACTTTTAATCACCAAACGAAATGTTACATAAAACGAAGCCATCTGATGGCGAAACGGAGTTCGCCTGGTTTGCTAGTTATTTATATAAGAAAAAAACCGCACGGTTGATACAAGCGTCAAGTATATCAAAAAATCCAAAATAATTCATATATCTAAGAGGATATTAGGTGCGGAAATGGAGATATCATTTATTATACCGACTCCATATATTTTTTCCGAAAAAAAAAACATATTAAGTGCGCTGTTTACAATTATACACTTGCAAGTTTATTATATCAAACATATACCTACTAGGTATTCTCAAACGTTACGAAGCAAAAAGGCGGCACTTTAAAAAAAAGTCTATGAAACGCGATTTTCAGTCCACTGCAGCACGGTGGGCCGCGCGCATACCTGGAGCTCTACTCTCTTTCTCCGAAACGAAATTTCGGCAACGAACGAATTTTAAACGAAATTTCGCTAGTGAGTCTACTCTATTTCATCTTCGAACACGCACATAAAGTTCGGAGTCACAGACAATTATCGTGAACGAATGGAATGAGTTATCTTTGTGAGTTCTTTTCATCTACACTTTTTAGATAACTTTTTTACTTCAAAACAATATTACTTTATGACAACATTTTTGATTACATTAAAACAACCTCTTTTGACAGTGTTAGCCGACTAATTTGTAGAGTTGATGCAATCGATTGTATGTCAACCTAAATTTGTCGTTTAACACTTTAAAGTATTGGCAATACATTAACCTTCCTATACTCGCGCCAATTTTTGTAACACCTATACTCGCGCACGGTGTCACAGACCGATAGTTTGTACCCCTACAACATATTTTTTTTAACAAGAAACACATAAACTATTACTATTATTTTAGAGTTTAGGATGTAATGAAACAAAACAGTATAACTAAAAGTTATTTTATTAATTATTTTACCGACTTATAGTTTTATCACAAATCAGTCTTAAAATTTGAGATTATTTTCTTAAGTACTAAAAAATTAAAATAAAATCTGAACTTCTTTTTAAAAACAAATTAAACTTCTTATTAATAACAACAAACATATCAATAAACATATTTATCTCTGTTTGACTTAATTTTGAGCCTCGCCATAGCAATCAGGGCATACGGTTACAGCATGCTCCAAACAAAAGTATTTTTTGCAGGTGGCACAGTTGTAACGTGTCTTGCGGTTTTTTTTTGAAGAGCAGTATCCACAACGACCTACTTTATTATTGTTAGATGTTGCTGCAGACTCGGGTCCATCTAATTTGCATATTTCGGTGAGCCTGAGTCTTATGCTTCTCGGCAAGGATGAAATGAGAGCCCGTCGTCTAAGTTGCGGATTGATCAAATCGTATGCTAAGGCTTCAAGGAAGACTCGACGGCTAATTTTCTTGTTAGGGTTATTCTGCAGGTATATTATAAACGTATTTATACCCGCTACATTCATTAGGCTGTAAAATATCACCATTGGCCATCTATTTGTCCCACGTGCGACGTTGTAAGTCTCACACATTTTGTCTACGCTATCTACTCCACCTTTGGTTCTATTATAGTCCATTATAATTTCCGGTTTACCTGTATCTTCATTGATCTGGGCATCATCGTGCATGCTGGATACGAGAAGGACATTTTTGCCTTTTTTTGGTACATAGGATACAAGACTGCAATTGCCTCGGTGCCCGAATAAACTAGATTTTTCGGCTCTTCCTCGTATTTCCGTGAAATTTTTAGGCAATTCTCGTTTGTTTTTACGAATTGTCCCAATAACTGTCAATTTGTGTTGAGACTCAAGCTTATCTATCAATGGAATACTAGTGAAGAAGTTATCACATGTGATATTACGCCCAGTATTGTGAATATTTTCACTCAATCGCAAAACCAAAGCCAAAGCGGAGTTATCAACTTGGTTTGGACCGTCTGGTTGCTTCCCAACATAAACTTCCATGGTATGGGTATAAAACATTTTGGCATCTGTCAACGCATAAATTTTGATTCCATATTTGTTGGGTTTTGATGGAATGTACTGGCGAAAGTTACAACGTCCTCTAAAAGCCTCTAACTTCTCGTCAATTGTAACATACTGAGACACGCTGTAATATTTTTTGAACGTTCCCACAACTATATCAAACAACTCTCTAATAGGTGCCAGTTTATCCAGTTGTATTCTCTCTTCTCGTGTATCTTTACTGTCAAATCTGAGACAACGCATCAATAGAAAGAACCTGGATAATCCCATAGTCAAACGAAATATCTCCGGGGATGACCCGTCAGTTCTGAAAAAATCTTTGGCATTTAGACGAGCGTTCCTTCTGACTCCAGCAAATAGTAAAAGGCCTAAAAAAGCTTCAATTTCAATATTGTCTGTATCGGCGCAGTCTCTCTCTCTCTTGTGAAATTATGCTTCATGCGATTAATTTGTTTATTAGTGTACTTTACTATCAGGCTGATAGTGCCCTCCGAAAAAAAAAGCCGCCACAGCTCACCTGGTTCCTTCAAATTTCTAGCTTCTCCTCTAGCGCCTGGAAGTTGAGTAACTATATTTCTAGCACGTCGCCTAGTTGGGTTTGAGGCAGGAGATTTATTCCACCTTGTCTGTCCATCTTTTCCTAAGTAAAAATCATGGGATCGTTCATTATGTTCTTCCTCAGATATCTCGTCATTGTCATCGTCTTGCTCGGTATCGTATGTCTCTTCTTGTACCTCCACGTTATCTTCCACCTCACTGTCATTTTCGTCTTCATAGCTTGAGCTAGAACTTAATTCTTCCAGCAACAATCTGATGTGATCATCGTCCATTTTGATATGAATTAAAACCTAAAAAAGAATGATAAAATTGGTCAAAATATAATATAGAGCAACATACATACATATATTTTACTATATATACTTTATAAAGTAATCAAAGTCCGTAAAAAATATACAAATGCACGAAATAAATTATATTAATACTTACACAAAAAGTTACACCTATACTCGCGTCGGTCTCGTGGACCGATTGGTGACGAGTGCTACAACACGTGTGTTTCGCCCGAACGCGCGGCGTGCACTAAAACGAAGTTAGCCACAAATCCGGCAGCTAGCAAGGAACTCAACTTCTTAGGATTTACCTGCATAAAAATAATTACGAAAATGTGTTTCGTCGGTCTCACAGACCAACGCGCGAGTATAGGAAGGTTAACAAAGAAAAATTAGATTTACTTGTAAATCTTTCATACTAAAAAATGTTCCTCACGTTAAGCAGCCTTAATTAAAAATACTCTAGTAGTAATTTTAGGTTTCATTTAAACAAAAATCCCAAAACGAAAATGAAAAGGTAACACATTTCATTTCGTCAATTTGAGGTTAAAATTTCGAACAATCATCTGTCAAATTCAACTTTTAGTTCAAAAGTTTTGTGAATTATAGTAGGCTTAGAGAATTTAAATGTCAAACTATTTGCGGACGAACGAATTTTCGAAACGAAATAGAAACAGAGTAAGGAACGTGCGAAATTTCGATCGAAATTACGTTTTTCGTTGAAATAGAGTAGGCCTGCAGAGATGTGGCCGCGCATTTGCACCAGCTGTTTCAGTTCCGCACGGTGATATTTGCTCCTTTATATTTTCAGTTTTCAAGTAATCGGTCGACTGAGTAAAAGTCCCGGGTTTGGATCCCAGTGGAGCAAATGTTTGTAGGATGACTTCGGAGCATTTGTACCCAATTCATGTATATTTCTATTTATTTCTAGACAAATATACTTACATATTATATATCACTTTATGTGTTCGATCCTATATCCCACAAACGAGCCTGAGCCTGGCCACAAGACCATGGCGCGGCCGTGTCGTTCAGATATTCGGTGCAGTGCTGTGACGCGTAAAATGCCCGGCAAGGTAACGTCGCAAAGCGCTTTTCTTTTATCGTGTACGAGCCCTTGTCAACTCAGTACATGGAATTGCTATTTCTTGATATCGAAGACAGGAAAACACTTGATAAACTTGACGAAAATATTTATTATTAAACTTGAAAGTAACTGTGTGCACACTGCTTGAGACAAACGCGCACTAACTTGTGCGTGATTATGAAATATATTTAAACAGTTAAATATTGACCTAAATAATTACTTGCGGTTAAAAATGCTTTGCTAGCAAAACGTATGATTTGATCGTACATATCGAAAATTGAAGACATTATGCCCAAAAAAAAGTGTATGTAATATATTCGGGATTCATGCTTTGTTTATTTATTTATTTTTTACTTTGTCCATATATGTATCTATGTACATTTTTTTATTCCACTATAACTTCCAAACAACATAACCGATTTAGATATGTGTGTTATCGTTAGAATCCTTTTACCATCCCAGGTAACATAGGATACCAAAACTGTTAAAATTTAAATAACAGCAATGTCAAAATGATAATTGTTTATGTCAGTTACAAAAAAATTCTAATCTATACTTATAATAAATCTGTAGAGAGGTCAATTCTGTACATGAAATATATTTTCAAAATAACTATCAGGGGGTGATAAGTCATCGATACTGATGCCAAAAATGCAACCAGTAAAATTTTTGTCTGTCTGTCTGTCTGTCTGTCTGTGTGTATGTTCCTTATAGAAACAAAAACTACTCGACGGATTTTAACGAAACTTGGTACAATTATTCTTCATACTCCTGGGCAGGTTATAGTATACTTTTCATCACGGTACAATCAATAGGAGCAGAGTAGTGAAGGGAAATGTTGGGAAAACGGGAGAAGTTACTCCATTTTTTAAGCTTCCGTCGCGTGTGCAGCCTTAATAGTTAAAGTTACATAGAAATCATGTATGACAGAAATATTTTACATAAAATTGTCTAAAAAATATCTCGCAACAGCATATGTCTATCTTTTATGGTTGACTCACAATAACACGTGTAACTCCTGATAGCTTAGCTGTTCGGAGCATTCTGATTATATTTGTTTAATCTTACGTTTATAATACTCTCACTCATCCCTAATTTAAAAAAGTTAACATTATTACCTATTCAATAAAAAAAGAATCATAGAAATCGGTATAGAAACACCAAACTTATACGTGAGATAAGCCATCGCGCCGTCGCACGTGAATACTAAATCATGCTATAAGGATTATTTTTGTGTAACGGTTGCCCCGCTCGACACGGGTCGCGGCGGCGATAGGGTATAAAAAGGCAGGAGGTCCGAAAGCGAGCTTCCCCGCCCCCCCGATCATGAGAGACCTTCAGTCGCTCAGTCCCAAACCGATACGGATGCACATCAGAGTGCATCCGTCCTCTAAGCGCACTGTGTAGTAGTATTTACTAAGGCAGCGCTGCATCATCCCCTTCTCAGGGGTTGATCGCATCAGATGAAGCCTGTAAGGCCCCTAAGGCCATAGGCATCCCCCACGGGTGTGTTTTAGTCAGTAAGAGTCTGACATAACCCTACAGCCGGCTGTAGGGTATCCATGAGGATTTCACACCCGCTTCCCCGCCTGGGAGGAAACAAAAAAAAAGAAAGCGAGCTTCATTCAATATTTGGCTGTTGATGCGTTCAGAGCGTTCGGCCTTATTGACAGACAATAATTGATATTGAGAAACCGTGCTTATCTTAGAATAAAAACCAAACATTTGTAAACAAAATTAGCAAATAAATCATGTAAAACGTGTAGAAAATGAGTACTGGTAAACGGAAATATGAGAATTTTAGTTTGATTATAAATACAGGTAATAAAAATGACCGTTTTTATCTATATATGTATATAAGAGTCAAAGGTGACTGACTGAGGTAGTGATCTATCAACGCACAGCCCAAACCACTGGACGGATCGGGCTGAAATTTGACATGCAGGTAGATGTTATGACGTAGGCATCCACTAAGAAAGGATTTTGATCAATTCTACCCCCAAGGGGATAAAATAGGGAATGAAAGTTTGTATGAAACTTTGTCAATTTTAAACCGATCGGGCTGAGACTTTGCATGCAGGTATAAGAAGAATCATAGATGAATGTAATTGTGTATAATACAAGCCTGAGAACAAAAACTGTAGTCTACACTTCAGCTCTACACCGAAGCGAAGCGAGGGCGGACCGCTAGTTATTACAATAAAGGTATCATTTGAAAGGTCTTAATGAGACCATATCTAATATATACAAATATAAAATGAAGATACATAAATCGTAGATAGTAAAATGAGATAAATATTTTAAAATTGATTACTTCAAGCCAAGCACATAGAAAATCAAGTTTGCACTTCATAACAACTTTTTAGTACAAGTTTTTCAAGGCAGTTGTTGTTATTTTTATTTTTTGAATTATTCATATTTGTTTTCTGTAAAGGTATACATAATGTTCGAGCTGCTCAGTCCGTTGTTATGTCCCCTGGTCCTGTTCTCTATGCGTTCGCGCGCCCTGGATATCGTCGATTTCTACCGAAACTTCACCGTCAAAGTTCACGGGATCGGCGACGTATGCTCCTTTGCTAAGGTAATCGTAACATTCATAACTGAGGAGCTGGCGAACAAAACGGTATAATTACGCATCTGGTCAAACTACTTTTTTTACAGTCCGGAGGTTTTGGACCCGTTGAATTTGAATCTCAAATAACTTTCAATCCAAACCACCTAGAACAGTGTTAAAATTACTAAATTTATTAAAATAAAAACCATGCCAAAACCTCACAGTAGGTATGTCATTCAGTTTTATACAGCTCCTGTAAAATTTAATTTTATGTTATTATACCGTTTTGTTCGCCAGCTCCTCAACTATCTTACCCCTCGTTTACACCAAGAAACAAGTCGTATACAGTAGAATCCGATTATTATGACTCCGCCTATGTTGACCAACCGCCTATTATGACGTAATTACACAACGAAGTTTGGTTTTCATAAAAAAATAATTGAAATAAAGTCGGATATGACTTCGCTTACAGTGACATGTCGCTTATTATAACCCATTTTTAATCAATGTTCATTGATCCCGACGAGACGTTCGGCACGTGGCTCGTTTTTGTTTTGAATGTTAGTGATTTATTACAGTTGTCACGCATTGGTTTTAGTGATATCCTATGGAAAAAAATGACATCTCAACGTTGTAAAGCATTTTTGGAACAACTCGAAAGTGATGGGGAAGAGGAAGGCTGCAGAATTATTATAGCGATTAGTTCATAGCAATATTGAAAATGATGATTTAACAATGGCAATGTCTTTTACACACAATAGTATGTCATTACAATAAAATGAAAAAACAAAAGTAGACAAAAATGACAGATTCCTAAAGTAAAAAAATAATAATATACATACATACATACAATACATGTATTATGTGCAATTTTTATTTTGATTCAGTATGCTGTTTTTATAAAAATACAAAAGTATTTACCTAAAAAAAAGGTTGTTTTTTTTCACAAAACTGCATAGTATGACGTTCGCTAAGTATGACGTTTTTGTTAATTCCCTTCGATGTCATAATAAACGGATTCTACTGTACTAGTTTTACACAAAACTTGTAAAATACTAGTGATATTCTTTCGTTTACACTGTAATAAACAACGAGTATCTTTTGAAGTATAAATCACTATTTACTTTACATATTTATATATCCAACAAGTTTGATGCAAGTATTGTATACTACATGTTTTATACATGTATATATGTGTAAACAAAAAATAAAGACATTATATAAAATTTGTTATATACGTCTGTTATACCTTTGTGTAAACGAGGGGTTAGGCTTCTTAAGAAACAATTACCATAACTTCAGACTAAGAATGTGACAAGATTGTGAGAAACTAAGAAAAGTATTATTTAAAATGCCTAATTTTGTTAAAATTAGTAGTATGTAGACCTGCATAAGACCTGTTTAAACGAAAAAAAAATATCAGCCTTGTGGGCCCTTCTTTCAAAGACACGTTTTGAAATGTTGAAAAATTCAATAGTTATAATGAGGATTATTACTAGGTCAGCAAATTAACTCAAAATCAGTATAATGATCTTATAAGCTTTTTAATTAATATACTTTCTAAATCGAAATCGGTTCATTTGTTGCGATTTTATCACTAATTTTATGGTAGCCAATATTCACCGGCGGCCGAAATGTGTGCCGTCACAGAGCTCGATCGTGGTTCACTCCGGTCGAACTTTAGTAGCATCTCTATGCACGCTCGCGCCATAGCGCTAGAGCTCTGTGACTTCACAGCCACCACGCGGCCAGGGAAAATTCGTTTAGTAATTTGGTCATAACTTTGTCAATATTTGTCGTAGAACAAAAATTTAACCACTGTATTTTATTGAATCCTTAGCTCTATAAATCTGCATTCTCAACTAAAATCGTTACGAATCCTCATTACAAACGGTAATCATTTTGTGCATTTTAAAAGTTTTATTTAAAGTAATGATTAAAGTAAAGTTATTTCTAGTATCTCGATTACGTTTTTTCCGCAGCAGACAAAATGAAGACCAGAAATCATAAATTTTTGTTTCCTATTCAAAATATTAATAAAGATAAAATTGTTACTAAGAATTAAAAGGTTATTTGATAGTATGAAAAATAAAGTACCAATTATTGGCATGTGTATTTAACATGACAATATTCATGTTAAATGCACAGCAATTTGTCTATTCTGACAAAAAAGTAGATGATAACTTTACTAAAAATCATGAAATAGAATATGTTGTCACGTGACCCAAAACGCCTAGGATTGGCGGTGCTTTAAATCTACTTGTAAACATGCTATCGAAGTGACATTACTTTGTACTGTTTGAAGATTTAATGAGAGCCGTGTGACGTCACCTGTGCGTAAGACGCCATATTTATTAAAGTAACGTTCCCCGGCATATTTAAATACATTTTGTTTTTCATTTGTGTACTGAAATACTTAACAGAATAACAAATGCTTATCCACTTTTTATGGAGTGACTACACACTAATAAATAACGTATGAACGATTTGAAACACTTTTCAAATAGGGTACTACTACCCTATTTGAGAAGTTTACTACTTTCGGGTCGAATATTGAAGGTCCAGTGGGTACTAGACCTGTGGAAGAGACTGCGTTAAATAAAAAATAATGATTGTATTATTTGTTATAGCTGGATATCCCTCGACACGGTCATCCCGACTGGCAAGGTCTTAGAAAATATGGCGAAAAACCAAAGGGTATGTTTTACACACTTAAAATAGTATTCTGGACAAAATAAGCTAAATATCTCCTTAAATAGCGAATAGATTGCTGTAATGTACTATAGTGTCTTGCAATGTAGAGATAAGATATTATGCGTTCTTTTATATCGGTGTCTGGTGATGTATTTTTTATCCGACTGCGCAATGTAAGTGCGCGAAGCGCGACGCGCAGGCAGGGTATAGTGTTTAACAGCCTATATATGTATGTTTGTTCCTTTGTGGCACACTAGAGACCACCGATTTTGATGATTCATACATCAATCGATTCGTCTCAATCATGTGAGTGCTACTAAAGATATGATAGTAATCAAAATTCAATATGGGGAAAAATAGGCGCCATATTGTGACGAAGAAAAAATAATAAGTTGACAAAATATGTCGAGTGGGGTATCATTGTCTAGATAATCGAAAATGTTCAGGTTCCTAACACCATCTTTCATTTTATATTATTGTTTAGGATCTACATCGCTTTAAAGTTGTATATTAGCCACTTGCGCTTTTAATTTCAATCTTACGTTTGTATGGATCTTTGTTACTCTTTCACCTAATAACTATTGAATGGATTTTAATGAAACTTAACAGTTATATAGCTCATATATGATAATAACATATATATATATATATATATATATAATAATTTATGTAGTTATTGAGTGAACTGGCCAAAATATAACAATAAGTGTAACATAAGACGGAAAAAAATCTCCCATCTGCGAGCCATTTTGGCGTGCACTGCAAAAACGATAAAAGTTACATGAATGTAATTTAGAGTAAAAATGTATCTCTTAAATATTACTACAAAAAATTCCGTGACACCATATATCTATTTTTAATGTGTAAACCATTACCGCTAAAATAGTGAATCAAAACTAAAATATTATTTGATATCTATTTCCAAAATGCACATTTTGTATTATTTTTTATCAAAACAAATACTTTTATCGCTTTTGATATTTAAAGACGATAAAGTTTGCCTTTTATACTATGTCATTTCGACAAATATTTAAAAAGTTACAACGATGACAAAATGATAGCGCGGTGTACTATATATGAGTAGACTGCGGGAATACTAAGGCCCGTATTACAGAATGACAACTAAGTGTTAATCTTTACTTGAGTATAGTTGGAAAAGTCGCTATGTGCTATATGTTGTGACATCCCTTTCTAACTATGCTCAAGACTCGATTAATTACTGAGAATCTTTTTATAATACGAGCCTTAGAGAAGAAATATAATTTAGGTGTTTATAAACGTAGATAAAACCTAGGCGAAAAAGAAAAAATGGGCTACTCGCAGTATCTGATCCTATACGAAATACAATAAAAATGTGATACAGTTCCTTCTTATTAAATATTGAAGAATAAATTATCAAAAAATACCTAATTTATGATTATTGGGGGTTATTGGATGTAAAGGAAATAAATTAAAGAAGTACATAAAAAATAATAAATACGTTAAAAAAACTCAAAAACTTGTAAAAAAACAAAAGTTCTTTATAAAAAATTAAACAAGGAAAGATTGCAATTAATTGATAAATTGGATATATATTCAATAAAATATGACAACATTAGCCTAAGATATAAAAAAGACACACAAACATTACAAAGTAAAATTGAACAATTACAAGAGTGTCTTATAAATGTTACAAAAAATATGAACTGTCACAAAAAGAAATAAAGCAACATATGAAGGCACTGAATGAGTTGGTTGAATTATGTAATTACAACAATGACAAATTTAATTCTTTAACTAACAATCACACATGTGATTGTAAACAGTTAACAGCTCAGTCACCTGTCAATTGTGATTCCTCCATATCACAACATGTAACTATTAGTTCCCCACAGCAGCCATCAAAGAAATGCTTGACTACAGTGAAAACAATTCACTCGGACAACTTAGTTTTAGATAATAAATATAAAAAAATCATATTATTTAGTGATGAAATTGGCAAGGGCATGGGCCCTCTTTTATCTAAAATGGGAAATTCAATTATCAATCACTGTATGCCTAATGTTTCTTATAAGGATATCTTAGGAAATGCAATCAAACAAAATTACAGTAAATGCACTACTTTGTTATTTTTTGTGGGAAATAGAGGCAATTTGAACAAAAAATCATTAATTCAATATGTGAATGACCTGAGCTCTTTAAATGTTGAAAAAATTATATTGTTTACATTGCCCTATTGTAGAAGTCTGCCAAAGGAGGAAAATATCTTAAGATATAAATTAAACATGCTTTTGTTCGCAATGTGTAAAAGTGAAAAATTTCATATTATTGACACTAACAATTATGTTATAAATTTATATTTGACCAGAGATAAATATTATCTTTCCAATTATTATAAGAGACAGATAGCTAAGTCTATCATATTATTTTTATATAACAGCCAAAAACTTGTCTAAACAAATTGCTTTTATTGAGCAATGTTCTATTGACTTGACTTGACAGTCAGTAACTCTTTTACTGACAAATTACAAAATAATAACTATTGTTTAAATTAAATAATGAGACAAGAGACAACTCCTCTTGCTTAATAATAAATAATTATTGTAATAACTAGCATAAAAATTTTAATTTAATTAAGAAAAATCCCAAACAATTAAAAGAAAATGTAAATTTTATAAACCTGATGCATATAAATATTCAAGGAATGATGGGTAAGGACTTAGAAATTGAATTATTTTTGAATTGTAACAATATAGATATATTTTGTATCACAGAGCATTGGCTTAAAAGTCATCAATTCATCGTTAATTTTAATAATCATCAGGTTAGTAGTTCGTTCAGTCGAGAAGATGCGATTCGCGGTGGCTCTTTAATTTTATTAAATAAGGCACTTAAATTTAAGGAACGTAAAGATATTGTGAGCCTCTCGGTTGAGCGAACAATAGAGATTGCCTGTGTGGAACTGGACCAGCTTGTTGTATTGAGTGTATACAGACCTCCTTCAATATTGTATGATTGTTTTGAAACTATTATGGATGAAGCTTTAGAAAAAATTGTCCACACTGGTAAACGATTAATTGTTTGTGGTGACTTTAATATTAATCTATTAGAAACCTCTAGTTTGAGTATTAAATTAAGAAATCTATTTCAATCATATAATCTTGAAAACTTGTTCATGGAGCCTACTAGAATAACTGCCACTTGGACCACTTGTATTGACAATATTTATACGGATATAATACCACATTCAAAAGTATTTGTTAATCAACTAGATAGTGATCATTGTGGCCAGATGATTACTTTTCCACATCCAAATAAAAATGTCACCAAGAAATATATCACTATTGTGCCAAAATCTGTTAATCATATAGAGCGTTTTAAAGTTCAATTAGATAGGAAGTTGAGTTATTTAAAGTATAAAAGTAGTCCAAATGATATGTATAATGATTTTTTTAATATTTTTTGTTAAGAATTTAATGATGTCTTCGTTCCCAAAACCATATGTGTTAGTGATGCAGTAACTTTCAGCGAGTGGGCCACCCCAGGCATACATAAAAGTAGAAGGAAACTTTATGAACTTTACAATGAACGCAGCATTAATACTAGTGAAAGTTTCAAAGACGTACGTAATTATTCAAAGTTATTTAAAAAAGTATGTCGTACAGCAAAATCAAATTATTTAAGTAGTAAGATTAAGAATAGTAATGACAAAATCAAAATGACTTGGAACATTATAAACAATGAAACTGGAAAATCAAAAACTCGAAATACTAGTTTTAATTTAAACATTGAACATAGAAATGTTACATCAGATGTTGAAGTTGCTACAGCATTTGAGAACTTTTTCACTGATATTCCAGTTTCAACTACAAAATCTTTGAACTCCTCCCCCATTGCTGCTGAATCAATATTAAAAGAACACACCAAACAATGTACTAGTCAATTTAAATTTAAGTATGTTAACTGTAAAGATGTAATAAAATATTTCAACCAATTAAATAAAAAGAAAACTGCGGATCTGTGGGGTAACTCCGTGGATGTTTCTGGATCAGTAATTGAGACAATAGCTCCTATTCTGGCTAGCATTATTAATCAATGTGTTGACTGTGGTGTTTTCCCTGATCTAATGAAACACAGTAAAATAACTCCATTACATAAATCGGGTAGCACATCTGATCCCACAAACTTACGGTTTTAGATCTTTATTCTCATAAAAAATTACAAAATTCACTTACCATGAGAACATAAAATATTTTAAATAACATTTTGGTTAAATACGGAGATACATTCAAATCGGGGGTAGAACTAAAAACAGTGTCATTGCTCATTGATTACGTTCGGGCATAGATGGCTCGGTTAACAAATGAAAAAAACTTTGATCACAGTTATAGCTCCGCGTCGTACTAGAAGTGGCTTGAGTTGCTTGTGTTAGGAGTTTAGTTTGTAAATAATTTATTATATTGGTAGTTCAACGCCGCTCATCTTTTATTTGATGCATGTAAATTATCACGAAAAAGCCGAAGTAGTGATTTAAATATATATATTTTATAACACTTTTTCGTCTATTTTTATTCTGATGAGTTTGATATATTTATAACTTTATTTATGATTTGTATTTTTTATTCATATTTTTTTACAGTTTATTATTTTTATGCTGTTTTATTTGAGACAATTAAAGGGGTTTGGGTAAAAGTGGCTTGATTTTCAAAGTCTGCGGCCACGAATGCTTTTTTTTTTAATGAATAGAACTAAAAAAAGTAAAAATAAAATATTAAGGCCATATATCTGTAGAGTACATCGAAGCCAAGATATGATTTTTTTAAAATAGAATAATCGTAAATTCATATCATTAAATCTTACGTGCTTTTTTGTATGAATTGTTGTCTAAAACATACGGTTTATCAGACCCTTTTTGGTCTGGTTTGACCGCCTCAGCCAATCACATCAGTCTTTGGATATTCCACTTAGGTCTCATAGTGTATATCCCTCGGGATCCCCACGGGCAGGGTCATGGGACGGGCGCA